TAGCTTCAGGTGGGCACAGGGGGTGCTAGGAGGGGAAAGAAGGAAGGGATAAGCTTAGATAATTATCTATCTAAGCATTGCATAGAGATAAAGGGATCCTCAAGGAAGGAGGTATGTAGGCATAATGGGAAGAGGCACAGAAAATCAATCCTCCTGAAAGTTTGGTCAGCATATAAACCATGTGGCCACATGACTATACTGAAAACAGTACAATGGGAAAAGGAACTGAGTAGCCTTGTCACATTCTTTCTAGTTCTCAGGACCAGAATTCTTCAGGCACCAGCTACTAGAGTAATAAAATGACAGTGTAGTGAGCTAAGATCTGGATAATTTAAAGGCAGGTAGTCTATGCATCAAATGTAGATGTGAAAATCTATATTTTTCTTCCCATCATTGCAACTTTGTTTGTAAAAAAAAAAAAGAGAGAGAACCAGTACTTTAACAACTTAAATTCCTCATAGCTTGAATCCTTGTTAGATCACCAGTAGACATGAGTAATAACTGGAAACCAGCCACATAGTGGTAAACCTTTAAATAGCTAAGATCCATTATCACCAACAAAGTTCGCTCTCACCAATGGAAGGTACAATATTTCAAGAGGTATTTCAAAACCTGTTCACACCACATCAAGACTCCTTTTACAATCATTTGTTTTACCTGGATTAGGGAAATAACCTACTTGATGGGGATAAATAATCCACCATACACATTAATCTGTAATAATGTGTCATCTCAATAATTCACACATGACTCAATCTTGCCTAAAGGCAGGCACCCTGGAAAACTGGGAGGAGACATGCAAGTTTCAAATGAGGACAAGTTAAGTGGAGAAAATCAAAATAGATGCAGAGATCTCCTCTGGATATGGCAAATTAGGTTGCTGACCAGAACTCTGATTTGTTACAGGGATGTGACTCTTGTCATCAGTAGGTAAAAGGCTGATAAGGTGAACAATGGGGCAGCTAGGTAGCAAGCAGATAAAATGCTGGGCCTGGAGTCAGCAAGACCTGAATTCAAATCTAGCTTCAGATCTTGTGTGACCCTGGCCAAGTCATTTAATTCTGCCTCACTTTCTTCATCTATAAAATGTGCTGGGCCTGGAGTCAGCAAGACCTGAATTCAAATCTAGCTTCAGATCTTGTGTGACCCTGGCCAAGTCATTTAATTCTGCCTTACTTTCTTCATCTATAAAATGAGCTGGAGAAGGAAATGGCAAAATACCCCAGTATCTTTGTCAAGAAAACCCCAAATGGGTTCACGGAATGTCACATACAACAGAAATGACTGAACAGTAATAGCAAAAGGTGACCACGGCAGTTGATTCTCACAAAAATCTTGAGATACTCACATAAAACCAATGTTTCACCCAACTTCAATATACATAAATATATATATATATATACACACACACACACACACACACACACACACACACACACACACACACACACACATACATATATAGTGCTAGTAAGGCTATATACTTAGGACTAGGGTAGCTACCTCACATCAGTGTGCCGCTTTGTCACATGCCCTTTAGATATGCTGTACTTTCCTCACACTGCTCCTCTTCTGGAAATATTTCCTCCAACTGCTACTCTGACATCCATTTATATCAGTCCACACAAGGAAAGAGGGATTCATCATCTCCATGGTTGGCCCTGCTGAGAACATTGCCTCCTACAAGTAATAAGAGGCCAGAGTAGGTGGGTGGGGTTGGGGTCCTTTGGCAGCCAGTGAATATTTTTAATGGAATGGGAAGGCAGAACATGGAATGATCAAAAGAATTTTGAAGATTCAAAAAATAAGAGTGAGGGTAATTCACATTTAAAATTTATGAAAGATTTTGGCCAACTTTTTCATTTGGCAATTCTCAGGCTTTCTTTTCTAGAGTTACTCAAAATAATGGAGCTAAATAGTACCTTCAAAGTCATGTATTCTAACCCTTTCTTTATGTGACAGATTAAGGAACTGAGGCCCATGAAGGATTTTAATTTTCATAGTGCCACAGGGCCAGTTTGTGAAAGCTGGGATTTAAAGGCAGGTCTTCTGTATCCAAATCTAGTGCTCTTGTTACCATAATATGTTGTCTTCCTGTGTTGATGGGAACACATTTCATGTCTGTAGCATTATTATAGCAAATCAGAAAGTCTAAACAAAATTAAAAAAAAAATCTCATTTTCCTGTTGCACATTATGGAACAAAACACTTCTCTTTACCTATAGACCAGTGAAGATTTAACATAAAATTTAATGAATTTGCATTATACATTAGAGAGTTCACAATGTCAAGGGAGTTATTAGAATACCAGTTGTCAATCCCTTTTGGTAAATAATTATTTTTCATATTCCTCACCAGAGATCAAAAGATTTATCTCAAAATAGTCTTCTTAATTTTCCCATTACCTTCTGCAAAAGACCAAAGTTTCTAGTCCAAAATTTCTTAAGTTATTTTGTAAAATAAACATGGTATAAGTGATACATATAGTAGTATTCCTCAGAAATATGATGCTGAAATTCAAAGAAGCATGCCATTTAATGTTTCCTTTAAAAGAAGGAACTTTTTCACAAGTAATAGGTATACTATATGAAGGCCATAGATATGTCATTTTTACAATCATGTACTCTGAAGGAAAAAAAATCTAACATTTAATATTCACTTTAAAAAGATGTGATGAAATAGTAAAGGAAATAAGAAATGGTAAGGATGACAAACTTGATATTATTTTAAAAAGCAATAGCAACAAAAAATAGAACTTGAAAATAAGTCTCTGGCATAAGTAACTGAGGGTAAGAAAAATGGAATAAGTCCAAAAGGGATGGCAGTGCTTTCATCTGAATGTGGCCAATGAGGTGGCTTGCCAGGACTCTGACTGGCTGAAGAGATGATAGCATGACTCTTGTCATCAGTAGGTAAGAAGATAATAAGGTGACCAAAGCAGCTGATGCTGAGAAAAATGAAAAAAAAAAAACCAACCCCAAAACAAAGAACTCAACCAACAGTTCAGGATAAAGATGTTTAAGAGCCAATGAATGATAATTTGGGGGTTCATTATGTAGAATTCTAGATCAGGTTTCCCCTTAGCTTACTAGGTAGTTTTAGATACTTTAATACTTTTTCAGCAAAAGTCATATTAAGTAAGAGAGGAATTTCTTTCTTTAAAATCTTGAAGAGTTCTATCTATGCAAATAGAACTATGACAGACCTCAAACTCAAATAATATGGTGATGGCTAGTTCAAAAAATGTGTAATGACATTTTGAGGCAACAGGAGCCGCTACAAGTTTTTGTTTAACATAGCAACAGTATAAAGCTGTTTGTATTTTACCTGTTTGCATATTAAAGGTGAATAGACTGAATTAATGACTAAAATGATTTTTCAAAGTAGTAAAACAATAATCTCTGTTATGCAGCATTCTATAAATTAAAACTATCAATAAGCACTTCAGAATATCTATAGTAAAAAATGAATTGAGGATCATGGGGAGATATTGCAAGATTCTAAGGTGTCTTCTAAATCATCAGATAAGAATTAAATTGCTTTCAATATAATTGTAGTATTACATTTGGTTTATCACAATTTTACAGACTTTCATAACTTCCAGCATGTTGAGTTGTAATGAACTTTAGAGATCAGAAAACCATAAAGAGCTGGAAAGGACCTCAGAGATCAACTTGTCCCAACCCTTCATTTTACAAATGAGCAAATGGAGGCCCAGAAAAATTAAGGTATTTACTCAGAGATTCACAAGAAATAAATGATGAACAAGGATTCAAGCCCCAGTCCCATTCCTCCTGATCTAGAACCCTTATCAATACACCACCACACTATCTACCCAGTAAAGATGAGAAATTATGTTCTAAGTTGGTGGTCAATTTGGTAATTATTAATTAGAAGGCATGATTAATCAGAATGCCACCTTTACCCAATGATGCCAGGTGCTTATTACTGATATTAACTGTCCAAACCTGTGATTTCATTAGTGTTAGAAACTCTTCACACAGTAACACTTTTCACAAATGCTGATTTGCAATTTATCTGCAATTTATAGTCTTTGAATATAAACTCACTGTGTGTAGAGATTGTTTGATTCTTTGTACTTGTATCCTCAGTGACTAGTACAGTGACTAGTATGTATTAGGTGTTTAATAAAAGTTGCTTGATAGATTGCCATTGAGTGGTTCACCAATAGTTTAGGTAGATAACTTACTCATGATCCAGAATTACTATGTGACAGAGGCAGAATGTGAACCAAGGTCTTCTTACTCCATAGCCAACTCTCTATCCATCATATAGTACTGCCTCTCTGATGCTAAAATTAAAAGAAGTAAGAAATTGAGTGGCCAACAAACACCAAATTATTGGGTAGCCATTTCCTTTCTAATGCCATTTGGGACACTGAAATTTATGCATTTATGTGATATCATTTTCACTTTTGAAGCCATGCCAGAAAATGTTGAAATACTAGGTTTTTCTTCCAAAGTTCATTTCAATTTGCTATTACAAATAGAAATCTTATAGAAACCTATATAAATGTTTATGTGCATAATATCTTGTTACCTATTTGATCTAATTACCTATATTTGATCTGATTACAGATTCACAAGAAATTATGGAAGAAATACTAGAATTACTTCGTTCTACTACACTATCTTCATGAGAAAGGCTAACTTATCTCCACAGCTGCAACGCTTTCCTTTCCAATTACTTTCTTCTTTTTTGTACTTATTAATTTACATTTTGTCACCCTCATTAGAGAATGTACATTCCTTGAAAGCAGGGGCTTTTTTTTTTCTTCTGCCTTTTTTTTGGGGGGGGGTGTATCCCAAGCACTTAGCACAATTCCTACCACAGAGTAGGTACTTAACAAATTCTTGTTGACCAACTGCCTGAAAAGAGAATTTTTATGCTTTCAGCCTAATTTGTATAAACAAATTTGTAGAGCAGTGGTTCTACAAACATTTTAATTTTGAAAAAAATTAAAAGAACAAAAAACAAAAGAAAAAACAATCTAATTTATTAGTGCCAGTGAATGTTCATGGACAAGTAACAGAAACCAAGTTACTCTGGGTAGCAGCCTACATCACCGAGCATCAAAATAACATTTCTTCTAAGTGAAATCACACGCTTCCTTGTAACTGAGTCTGTAGGGATTAAAAATCCCTATTGTTTACCCATGAAACTGTCAATGAAAAGGTGCTAAACGAGCTTCCAGCATAAGTTGGCATGGAAAGTAAAGCTGTCCAAACACACAACATCTCTCATCCCCTTGCAGCATTCTCTCATACATACACCCACACATAGGCATATACATTAACATCACATACAGCCTAAAGCACAGAATTCCATCTAAAATAACATTTCTGTATCAAAAGCATGCCTTCATATTTATATTAGATGCTCTAGTCGTGGAAATGATTTTTCTTGGAAATCATAGTGTTAACATTAAAATGTTCAACTTGTCAAAATCATTTATCGAATCAAAGACATATCTACAGAAAGATCTATTTGATCATGTGCAAGATTTCTAAGGCCATTAGAAGTCCATGTTCCACAGGACCAGTACTGCCAACACAAGAATCTACTGATACATTTAAAAAGTCTTTAGTCTTCTAATGAAGCCAGCCAGGCATTGGGAGACATTCATGAACTTCAGGTTGTTGGCTCAAAGGTCTAAAACTTCAACAACAACAATAAAAAAAAACGTTCATGGGATAGCACCATAGAAATTCCTTTTCAGCAACAAATCATTTTAGCCGCCAAAAAATTTCTTTACTCACTCCCAGGGTAGGGGAGAAATCTTACAACTGGTCCAGAGGCTGCTATTTGGTTATCACTCAGTGTCATTTCTGGTTAGCTAAACGAAATGTAACAATGTCGACAGCAATTTTACACAAAATGTTCCAAAGGAAGAGACAAGCAGTGGTGAGGACATCATCACCAGCTGCTGTATAAGAGTAGCCAGCATGAAGAATCCTGTTCCCAAGGCTTATTTCCTGTTAGGTTCTAAAGACACCACATGACTTCTTGGATTTAAGGTGGGTAAGAAGAAAAAATCTTCACAGAAAAGTGACTTTACCTATAAACTCAGAATTTTGGGGGACTAACAGCAACCATGCTTGTATAATATTAGCAATAATGATTATACAATAGAAGTTTCAGGAAATGCGAAAATGTCAGCTAAGTAAAACAGTGCAAAGATTGGTTCTATTTCAAATATGGTAAACTGGAATAAAAATGAAAACAATGAAGCTGACACATTTCAGTTTCAAAACACTGAAGAAATGAATTAACACTCACAGATCACCTTCACAAGACCTTCCTGTGTCAAATCATATCATATATTTGGCTTGCAGGTTTGCACTGTATCCTGGATGCAAAGCCAAAGCAATTAGAATAAGATACAAAAATAGTACATCGGGTTGCGTGTGACCTGTAGTAATTATATTTTGTTTGTTTGCTTGTTTTCCTCCCTCCTGGATACCAAACAATTGGTAGAAAGAAGTCTGCAGGGTCACTTTTCCTGAATGGAATTGATTCCAAATCTAGGCATTGATAACAAAAATCAAGTTGTTTTACAAAAGCTCTTCTGGTTTTCCTGGAAACAAGCAATGCTATCCCACCAGCTTCACAGATATTGTCAAATATGGAGCCCAACCATCACCATCACGTCTATTTTGCTGGGCTATCTGAATACTTCAATTTGGGAACAGAAACAATCTGGGTTTTTGAGTTTTGTGTTGATTCAAGCTCATTATAGAAAACGTTCATGCTAATAACTTTAGAAGAAAAAAAGGAAAACTTTCCATCAAGCATGCTCCTTTTCTTTTGGACATAGAGGTTTTGGCATTATTTTTTGGTATGAGTGGTAGCTGAGTATTTTCTGCTTCTGTATCGTATATGGAATCCTTTCTTGTTGATTGTATCGTCAGTGTGAAAATAAATTAAAATACCATCCCCCGATGAATAGATTTCTTCAGGTGGCTGGAAATTAAAAAACAAACAATACATTTTTTTCATAACAAAACTGATGCTTGAGGATTAAAAAAAAAAAGTCCTTACCTGTATTACAATTGTAATTTGACCCAGAGCAATTGAGTGGGAAATAACTCCATTTTAAGATGGTTTTGTATATGGAATAGATTTCAACATAAACCAATGGGCATCACATAGCCTTGTGCTTTTGAAAGCTGACTGCATATGACAAGAGGCAAAAAGTATGAAGTCATTCTAAATAGTCTCCTTGGTTAAGGAGTAGCCTACTGATGCCAGCTAGATGATTCAGTGGATACGGCGCTGGGCCTGGAATCAGGAAGATCTGGGTTAAAATCCAGCTCCAGATACATAATACTCATATATATGACTCTAGGCAAGTCATATAATCTCTGCTTGTTGTCTCCTTTGTAAAATGGGGATACTCATAGGACCAATTTCAGAGAGTTATTGTGCTAACCAGAAACGAGACAATACTTGACAAACGACTTGCATGGTACCTGGAACATAGTAGATGTTTAATAAATGCTTACCCCCTTCTTCTTCCCTTCCCTTATACCTTATACCAATGGCCTAATACTACCAAATTGTATTTACCTATTAATTTTGTGTTGGGGCTATGACTTTTTGATCCCCCTCCACTCTACCCCCAGACTTCATGTATGTGAACATACACTCAACCCATTGGTTGTCTCTATTTTTAAGAACTATAAAAGCAACTTGCAGTTCAAAAAATTCAAATGTTTCACTTTAGAGATAAGGAAACTGAGCTCCAAAAATCTGTGATTTGCCCAAGATTACTTTTTTGTTTTTCTCATTCAAAATAATTAAACTTCAAGGACTTCAATTTTATCCTCAATGTGGGCAAGTTAATATTCCTTAGGCAGCTTAATTCTATTCTGCTACTAACAGAAGTTGATAGATATTAGAAAATTGTTACGAATGTCTTTTTAATAAAAATACGCATTCCAAAAGGGGTATGAAATGGCAATGCAAAAGGAAGAGATATTAAATAGGACTGGATCATGGAATCATGGCATATCAGGCTTGGAAGGACACTTAGAGATCACTTAGTATAATGTTCTCATTTTCCAGATGAGGTGACCACACTCCTGTTAAAGGGCCACAGAAGGTAGAGGTTGAAGAGCTCTGGTCTTGGAGATCAGAGATCTGATATCAAATCTCAGCTTTGATGTCTCTGTGGGATCTCAGGAAAGACTTTTAACCTTCCTGAGGCTCAGTTTCTTCTTATGTAAATGGGATAATGATACTTATATAAGCTTAACTGACAAGATTCTTGTGAGGAAAATACTTTGTAAATCTTAAAACAATACAGAAATGTGAACTATTAGGAAGAGTAATAATTATTATGATCATTTTTCTCACCTAACAGATAAGGAAACTGAGAACCACAGGGATAAAATGAATTATCCAAGGTCACAAGGGATGATGATGATGATGAAAAGAACTCTCTCTCTCTCTCTCTCTCTATATATATATATATATACACATCTATATCTGTATCTATCTATCTATCTATCTATCTATCTCTCTCTATATATATACATATATATATATATAACTGGCTTAAGGTTTACAAAATGTTTTACATCTGTTTTCTCATTTGGTGCTCATAACAATTCTGGGATGATTCTCCCATTTTATAGATGAGAAAACAAAGACAAAGTTCCTCACTCAGGATCAAATAGCTTTCAATTAACAGTTCTTCCTGTTTCAAGTCTACCACTCTTGATTCCCAAAATAGGCTATAATTGTCTTTGAAATAGCTCACCGCATTTTTCAGATTTAAAAAAAAGTCCCAGAGCAGGAGAATTATTTGAACACTTTTCAGCATTTGAGGATATTAAAACTTGTCTTCTGTAGAATATCTATAGTTGTGTGGATAACATACATTCTGAGAGGGAGGATATGGACTAAATGTTAGTTCTATTCAGGGCTTTATGAAGAAACAGTTTGTTCCTCATCTGTTTCAGTATCCTTTGGAAGACACCTGAAGAAAAGTCTAGTCTTCTCCTGAGCCCAAATGCATACAGGAAGTAGGACCAGGCTGAAACTTCTTGCTTTTTTTCTACCATTATTGGTAAGTGGAAATGAATTTGAGGTCAACTAAAATCTCTGAAAGGTTTCCTTCTTTCTCTTTTCCACTTTTTTCTGAAACCCAGGTAAAAATTGAAAAAAATGCTTTCAAAGTCAAGTATATATATGTATATAATCTTTTTAAAAATCCTAAAATGCTTCCATTGAATAATATTTTAAATAAATTACTACCCAACATGAAAATGAAGATGTTTAAATTAAAATTATTGTATAAATACTCAACATGGCATTGGACATACATTTTAAAAAATGTTAATAAAAATAGTCAATAACTATCCAACACATAATTCCATTCATTACATTATTGATCAGAGATTTCATTAATGTGGGTGTTCCTTTCACCAAATATAGACTGCAATTTCATCAACCCTAAATGAACTGATGTCATAAATTGCTGGGGCCAACACACATTTTTATAAATCTTTTTAAACTCAGCTAAGCTAGTCTTTAGATAACAGAGACTTAGTCTGTGAAAGGTTTTTCCTCAAAGACTTTTAGCTTGGGAAAATTTGCCATAGCTTTATGTCTACATGTAGGGTCACCTTCATACCAAGATGAGACATCAGAGTAGTACTTCAGCATTGAAGTATAATGAAACATAAATCTAGCTGACCCTTTTCTTATTTTCAAAGATCACCTAAACTTAATAATGAGCTTTTTAAAAGTTGACTTTGTTCTGCTTCCATTTATCCTCTTTATTTTTTATTCCATACAGTAATTTATTTCCACTTTAGATCTTGTTTGGACACTAGATAGCTTCAACAGTCTCTCTCAGAATTTCTCTGAATTCAGTAATAACCAATATAGGACAGAGTTTTGGGGGAAGAATTTTAAGGTTTTTCTTTAAACTTCATCATTTTAGTCAACTTCAACTTTGAATTAGAACATTTAATCAGTTGACCCATTTCTAGGAAAGAAATAAGACAATAAAGTTTGCATTACTCTATAAAACACAAAGCAAGCAAAAAAGGCAGGTAGTGACTGGACAGTTTCCATCTGTGCAATACTTACACCTGAGCCACAGAATCGACCAAGATTCCGAGCTGTGGAATCATGACCATCAAAGAGCTGGACATAATCATAGCCACAGTCTGCTTCTTCTTCAACCTCAAAAGTCTGAAAACTTAATTCAACTGATGATCCTCGTTCTGACATTAGCAGCCACTCACAATGTACTTGGACAGGGTAACTGTTATCACCAAATTGAGCATGAGAATAGAGATCTCTCGGATTGGATTCAGCTTTCAGTCGACCACCACATTCTGCCTCAAGGTGGGGGGAAAGGAAAGAATTAATGCTAATATTTCACATCACAATTTCTATTACCAGGTTGCCATCTACATGTTTACTGGTGTTGGAATGACCATTTGGATGAAGAGTTCAAGGTGTCATATCTGGTGTCTACATCCATGTATGTCCTAAGAGAAGGCCAAAATTATTCTCTACCCTGTTACCCTATGCCTTGTTCCCTTAACAACAAAAAATGAATGAGTTTGAATATGCAAAATGTGAGAAAGTGTGGAAAATAATTTAAAGGATCTCTCTTTGATTCTATTGTGAACTAGGGATTTCTATATTTAAAGAATCTAAGGCAGCTGAGTGGTGTGGTGGGTAGAGCACTTGGTCTGCTGTGAGGAAGACATGAGTTCAAATTTGGCCTCAGACATTTAGTAGCTGTGTGATCTTGGACAGGTCACTTAATAATGTTTGCCTCAGTTATCTGAACTGGAAAAGGAAATGGCAAACTGCTCTAGTATCTTTGCCAAGAAAACCTCTAATCCCTAGTGTCACAGAAAGTCAGACACAACTGAAATGACTAAACAACAGCAATAGTTAAGGAAAAAATAACCAGTGGTTTAACTCTAAAGTAAATGGAAGAGTCAGTTCAAAGTAATAGGAAAATACTGAGCTTTATTAAACCAGTGTTATTATCTTCATGAATATCAGAAACAGATCATGAAAGAGCTATACTAATACCAATTACAAATTCATTGTAACAAATGGTTGACCAATTCAAAGCATTAGAGACGAAATAAAGCAAAATTGTGGTACATCTAGGGTTATACTTCTTAACGTGTTTTTTTTTAGGAATTTGGTTGCAAAAATTAATCATCTTTCAAGCCCCATAAGTTTTAGGTGTGAGCATATAGCCTCAGGTTGTGTGTGTGTGTGTGTGTGTGTGTGCGTGCGTACGTAAGTTTAGATGGAAGACAGTGCTACTAGAACCACTGACACACACAGAAATACACACACACACATGCTTCCTTATTATTCTTGCCTCCCAGCTCACCTCACAGTAGTAGTAGGGATCTACAACACAGCCACATTTTGAAAAACTCAAGAGCATAACATAGACATATAGAAAAGGGAATGAGGTTGATATAAACTCTACCTGTGACTTTTTTTAATTTTAATTTTTTATTTTTAGGCAATTGGGGTTAAGTGACTCCCCCAGGGTCACACAGCTAGTGTCAAGTGTTTGGTCTGATGCCACATTTGAACTCAGGTCCTCCTGACTTCAGAGCCGGTGTACTATCCACTGTGCCACCTAGCCGCCCTCTACCTATGACTTTGGACTGAGTTACAAAATCTCAGAATTTCAGTTGAAAGGCCCTCAATAGACATCTAATTCAACCTGTAGCTCACTAAAAATCCCTACTATGATATACAAATGGTTATCCAGTGAGAGGTCTTCTTGAAGTAGTCCATTCTCCTTTTTGGATAGCTCTAATCTTAGAAGTGTCTTGTTTTCTGTTTTTTCCCCCACTGATATTAACCCAAAATTGCCCTTGGAAATTCTCCCCAACTTCTCAATCCCTCTGTTTCTGGTTCTGCTTTCTGGGGCAAGTGGAACAAGACAAACTTTTCATCACATGACAGCCCTTAAAAACTTGACTACAGATAATATGCATGCCCTACATGATCCTTCTCTTCTCCAGATGAAACATCTGTACTTCCTTCACTATGCTCATTTTCTGTTTCCACATTGCAGGGCCCCAGATTGAGCTACAGAAATAATGGGGGTTGAGCAGATACTTCCCACCACTGCCAGGACTGAGAAGAGTGCTCTGAAAGCAAATGAGTACTATGACTGGAAGATATATTTAAAATCCCCCAGGAAAAGAAAAATTATCTTCCTATTTATGTCACCAGGGAAAGATGTTACATGTATTTCCCTTACAAACTAATAACCATTGCCATTGTGAATAGGGCCTCTCTGATTCTTTCTTTTCACTAATTAATACTGTAAAGCACCTCAAAGACACATGAATGATGATGGAAAACTACATAAAAATATTATTTTATCATCCACTGTCAAAATAAATTAATGCTTCAAAAATAATTCTTTGTAACTGTAACCTATGGTGGAGTATTATATAAATAAAATCTTCAAGGCAAACATAAGTATTATCAAAATGCTGATTCATTGAGGCTCTTGAGTATACTGAAATTCACTGATAGCTGTTTTATCTTCCTCATACAGATATATATATTAGCTTTAGTAAATAATCAGAGCAACTACAGTAGTGCTTCATGATTTCTGTACAACTCCACAAAACTGAAGATATTAAACATGTCTAAGAAACATGTTACCTAGTTGTTGCTGTTTTTTTCTGGTGATTTAAGGTCCCCCTGCCTCTATCATCATAATTTAAAGCATCTTAATGGACTCGTCATTAAAATGAAACATTAAGGTTAAGGAAGAGTATTGAGGGAATTGGGTGCATGACTTATGGGAGAATACATACATTTGGGAGAAGAGAGATCAGACTCTAGAATGGTTTCTTGAAAACTCTAACATTAAGGCTTCTTTTCTTTAGCTTAGTTAGACTCAATATATAGCTATAACTCTAAAGAGTCAAGACTAGAGAATAAAAAAATCTCTGAGTTGGAAGGTAGGCCAGAGACCTGTACCTGAACAAGAATTCTTCTAGGCACATCATTACTGACAATAGGCCATCCAGTCATTGCCTACCTTCAATGAGTGAAAAGTCACTGTCTTCTGAGTCAGTCTATTCCATTCTTGGAATTGTTAGGGAGCTTTCTTTTTATTTTGTTTTAATTTTCACAAGTCTAAACTTTCCTGTCTTCAACTTCTTACTCACTGCTCCTAGTTTTCCTCCAACTAATTTTCTACATGACAAGCCTTCATATATTTGACAAGAGCTATCAAGTGCAATTAGGGTCTGTGAAGCTCTATCCCATCCTCTCCTACCCCACAAAGTCTTCTCTTTCACAGCATAAATACCCTCAGTTTCTTCAACTGATCCTTGTATATCATGATCTTCAGATCCTCTAAATAACTGGTTGCCATACTCTGGCTTATAAAAGTCCTTCTTAAGATACAGTGCTCAGAACAGGGCAGGAAACATCACAGATCCATTTGGGTCACTTCTATATATTAGATGCATGCATGGTCAATTTTAAGGAATTGTACTGACACTCAGAAAATTGGCTAATTGGGGATACTGTCCAAAGTTACTGATATATCATCATAAACAACATGTACCAGATCTTCATTTGCTCACTAATAGAAAGTTGACTTAACTACTTATCAATAAAAATTAAATGTAATATTTGAAGAAAATTACCAATAAAATTATAACTTCTGAATTGGTAAGCATTTTCACATTTCCTTTCCAAGCTTAACTACTCCATCTGTGATTTGGAACTTGCTAACTCCTTGTTTTCAGACAGTGAATGTTGTTTAATTATGTCACTTCTCCCTTGTTTCTTTAATCTATCCTTCTCCCCTGATTTACTTTTCTTAGAGGTCATCTAAATTCCATGAGATGTCCTTACCATGCATTTCTGTCATATCAAACACTTCCTGATTTGTACCTGAAGTTTAATTTAATGTAAATCTTAGACTTGTCTTTGTGAAATTTTAACTTCTTGGTTTTGGTCTAATGTTTGAACTTGCCAAAATTATTTTAAAACTCAATTCTTTCATTTATGCTATTAGCTATCCAAAACCTTCTTCATCTTCATCCAAATGAGTAATAAATAAGTTGGATGGGGTAAAGCCATGCCACAGTCTACTACAAAGTTTCCTACAAGTTAATATAGAACTACTAAGCAACATAATTTGGGATAGGTTAGTATACTACTCATTAAGTCATCTTGTATCACTATCATTACTTCAATTCAATAAGATAACATGTATTAAGATTGTAGGGCAGCTACCAGAGTGCAGTGACCAGAGTGCTGGGCCTGGAGTCAGGAAGACTCATCTTCCTGAGTTCAAATCTGGTCTCAGACATTTACTAGCTGTGTGACCCTGAGCAAGTCACTTAACCCTGTTTGCCCAGTTCCCTCATCTATAAAATGAGATGGAGAAGGAAATGGCAAAACCACTCGAGTATCTTTGCCAAGAAAAATCAGGTTACAAAGAATCAGATGCAACTGAAACACCTGAACAACAGTAACAAAAATTAAGATCCTAATATGTTCAAGGAATTATGCTAGCCACTGAGGTTTTAAAGACAAAAATAAAATAGCCCCTCCCCTAAGGTTCCATATTTTACCACCTTTTCCATAATACTGTTATGGGAAACTTTGGTAAATGTTTTATTGAAATCAAGATACAATACAGCTGTAACATTGCCTTGATTTATCAATCTAGCAACCTTATGAACTACAAAATGTAGTTAGTTTAGCATAAATTGTTCCTGTCTAATCTATTTTACTTCCTACTAGTATATTAAAAACAACCATACACAATGTAATAATTTGAGAATTTTGTCAGTTATGCTTATCGGTCCTTATTTTCTCTACTTGCTTTGCTTTTTAAATCAGGAACATTTGGTATCCCTATGCTCTCTAAATATTACCAAAATGGATACCCTATCTATTGATAGGAAATCAAATTATATCAGCAAACTCCTTTGTCACACTGGCATATAATCTGTCTAGGTCTGTAGATTTTAATTCATCTAAAGTGAATAATTTCATATATCTTCTGTACCTATCTTGGTCTACAAATCCTTAATTTTCTTACTAGCCTTTCTGGCATCTTGCTTAAGAGATATTGGGAGCAAATTAGGGGTTCAATGGCTCTTTCCAATCTCAACCCTCTGCTAAAATAGGCCATTTTCCCCCAGCAATGGGCCTCAACATCTCTTATTCTTGTTCAGATAATGTCTTTCATAACTATAATCTGTCCACTTATTCTTTATCATCATTTGAGTCACTGCATATTTTAAGCTACCTACTAGCCACAAAACTCAGAAAATAGCCACAAGAATTCACACAGAAGATC